AAATTATATTTACAGTGCAGTAGTATTTGTAAAAAAACGTTTATACAGTACTTTTATTTGTTAAACAAATGCTTGGCCTGTAAAATCTTTGTTCTGGTTTCAATGTATTGTAGAGTATTTCATTGTATAATGTGTAAAAAATAAAGGTTACTACTTCACGGATTTCGCCTATCACGGGTTCTTTTTGGAACGTAACCCCGCGAAAAACGAGGGTTCACTATAGATGGAGAAGGAGGGAAGGGAAGGGAAAGAGAAGGAGGGAGGGAAAGAGAGAGAGAGAATAAATAGGAATAGGGAGGTGAGGCAGAGAGGTAGAAAAGGGAAAGGAAGAGGGGCGATATGTGGAGGGAGGGGGAAGGAGAGGGAGGAAAATGGAGTAAGGAAGGAAGAGAAGGCAAGAATAGGGGGAGAGAAGAGAGGGAGGAAGGGAGGGGGAGGAGATGCAGGGAGGGAAGAGTGGAGAAAAAGAAAAAATGGAGAGGGGAGAGGGGGACAGAAGGGAAGGGAAAGAGGGGATGGATGATTGGATGGAGTGAGGAGGGGAAGGGGGATTGGAGGAGGAGGGGAAGGGAGGGAAGGGTGGAGAAGGGAGAGAAATGGAGGGAGGAAAGAAAGGGAAATAAAGGGATGGATGGAGAAAGGGGAGGATAGATGGAGGGAGGAGGAAGGGAAATGTACGGAAGGGAAGGGTAGGGAAAGGGAGGGAGGGAAAGGAAAGGGAGAGGCAAAAGAATGAGGGGAGGGAGGGAAAGCGAGGAAGAAAGGGAAAGGAAAGATAGGGGAGGGAAGGGAGGGGGGGAGAAATAGAGGAAGGAAGGGAAGGGAAAGAGAAGGGGAGATGGATTGAGGGAATGAGTAAATGAGGGAGGGAGAGAGAGGTAGGAGGGAGGAGAGGGGGAAGGAGAGATGGAACGGAGGAAGGGAGGGAGGAAGGAGAGATGGAACGGAGGAAGGAAAGACGGAAAGGAGAGAGGGAGGGCAAGGAGAGAAGAGATAGAGCAAGGGAAGAAGGGAAGGAATAACGAGTTAAGGTGAGAAGAGAAGGATGAAAGAAAGCAAAAGGGGAGAGGGAGAAGCTGGGAAGAAAGGAGGGAGAAAGGGACGGAGTGATTGAGTGAGTGAATGAGTGAATGAGAAAGAGAGAGAATGAGGGAGAGAGAGAATGAGGGAGAGAGAGAGAGAGAAAGAGAGATAGAGAGAGTAAAAAAGAGGGAGAGTGAAAGAGAGAGAGAGAGAGAGTGACAGCAATGGGAATGGAGAGGTGGAAAAGAGAAAGAGAGAGAGAGGGAGAGAGAGATGAGAAGAGAGAGGGTGGGTAAGAGAAAGAGAGAAAGGGGAATACACACACATAAAATACATATCACACACACACACGCATACATATGCATAAATGTACATGTCAGTAATTGTGTGTGAATTTATATAACATAATGTACTTCACTTAACAGGAGATATGCACCCTTCGGGGGGTACAAGAGAGGACTTCAGAGACCATCAATACCCTTACTAAGGTGAGACAATAATAATTTACATTAATGATTGTCAAAAACAAAGTTTACGCACTTGTTTGATAAATCTGTTCTTGAGGACATAGGTAAAAGGAACATACTTTTCCCAGTTTTATTTTTACGTATATTTGTATTTTGTTCTCTCGCCTCCTTCTTTTTGTTTTCTTCTTCGTTTTCTGATTTTCCAGCTCCTCTCTCTCTCTCTTCTTCTTCTTCCTCCTCCTTCTCCTCCTCCGTTCTTCCTCCTCCACTACCTTGAGCTTCAGACAGTTTTCCTTTAAACCCCGTTGTTTTGCAGAGCCAAGACAAATTGAGCCAACGATTCCAGCTGCTGGCAGAACTGACGACAGCGCAAGATGACCTGCCTTCAGGGTATGGGCGACGCCTGCAAGATCACGTTCACGGCCTTTGGTGTCTAGAGGGCCTCCACCAGGACCTCGACGTCCGTGTGGAGAAGGCAAGGCGTCGTTTTCTGCATCTGTCTCTTCGTTCGTCTAATTCCTTCCTCTTGTCTTTTTCTTTGTGTTGGTTTCTAGGTATACGGTATATACAATCAAACAAATACAATTCAAGAAACAAACAGGCACATGTATATTATAATACATGCGTGTTAATAGCTACTTTCTTTTCTTCTAGGGAAATGTTTATTGATCAGATCAGCATTATGAGGACAGATCTGAAAACCAGGCAATGTTCATTTATAAACATTTACAGCAACTTTATATGGTTTGCATCTTCGTCGGTAAAAAGTAGCAATAGTATCGTTGTATTTTTTTTTTTTTTTCCAAAACAAATGGCGAAGGAGAGAAATCTGTGAACGATATGCAAATGTCCTCTTGGGGGGGGCTGTCAAGGTTCGATTGTGAGGTGGATCAGATCGGCCAGTTTGACAGTGAAACAGAGGAACAGAGGAAACATACTAGAGGAATATATTCAAAAGCACTATTTACGCTATACACAACACAGAGGTGGCAGGTGCAGGCAAGGTCACATGGCGAGCGAGGTCGTCGTTGTCTTGATCACGGGAGTACTGGAGAACTTCCGGGAGAACTGAATTTATATATATATATATATATATATATATATATATATATATATATATATATATATATATATATATATATACATACAGCCGTTTCTTATGCACCCGGTGTTGATGTTATTCTTCTGTGTTATTTAAATTAGTGTTATATAATGTATATCAGTGAATCATGACACGGTAGTCACATGGCCGTATCACAGGAGGCGCAAAAAGAGAGAGGCTTTGGAAGGTTTCTTCGGTGTCTAGCATAGTTTTAATGCATTGGGCAGCCAGTCGAGCCTTTGCTTCAACAGGTGAATGCGGTAAATTTCGTAAATGAGGTGGGCGTATGCTGACTAGTACTGGGCATTCACGTGTATAGTGCAGGGGAGGTTCGTCAACGAGATCATCACAGTGATCACATCCTTTGGAACACGGACGACAAAGTCCCAATTGCACTGTAGCCAAGCCTTAGTCTGTGGATGATGACCGCCTCCGTCTTGGCAATGACTTGGGAATAGTGATGGTCTCATGATCAGTGACGATTTGGTACCATGTAGCTGATGGGGAGCCAGCCTCTACCCAGACAAGGTGTTTAGTTCTAGCGATTTCTTTAGCAGTGGCCCAGGCACGCGATTTGAGGCTGCCAAGACTGGGTTTAATTCTCCTGATGTGGTTATGAGTCAGGCTGTCTTTCGCAGCTCTGTCGGCTGTTTCGTTACATGACTTGGTATCCACATGTAGGTTACCAACTTTCCTTGTTCGTTTAACTGATTTAACTTGAAGAGAATGGTTGTCACAAGATTTATATTATCGGAATGAAAATGAAAACATTTAGTGCGGATAGTGAGTCAGTTAGAATGTGGAGTCTAGATTCTTCCAGAAAAAGGGCATGGGAGAGGGCTGCTCTGATGGCAAAGAGCTCAGCTTGCAAGGAAGAAGCTCTCTCTCCAAGTTGCAACTTGGAAAGATATTCTAGTTTCGAGGGAGACGAATCTAGTCTCGAGTCTTAAGTTGTCAAGTCGGGTCCACCTAGGAGCGCAAAGATGACTCTCATGCATTTGTTCTGTATGGTTTCAAGTTTGCTGACCTGGGCCGGAATCAGATTGAGGGATGTAGCACTAATCAATAATTGAGCGTACACCTTGGATATAAAAAAAATCTGCGAACATAGAAAGCTGTATAGTTGGAGATGGAAAGGTGTGAATTTAGGAGGGATTCTTGTAGGATGACCACATCATATTTGTGTTCATCAAGGGCCAGGCATAAGAGGGGGAGATGTGACTGGAGGCTATTGACATTCCATTGAAGTATGGTGACCTTCTCTAGCTGTTGTCCGTTAGTGTTCATAGTCTGAATAATTCCCTTGGTCAGTGTCTGAGTCTTCATATCCAAGATCAAGTTGTGCATTCACAGGGTCTCCTTCAGGAATATGGAGGACTGGGGGTGATCCGTCATCCAAGGTATATCTGGATTATGAAGGTTTATGGGTGGGTAGTCTGTTTGCGGAAGCTGACTGGCTGTGATGGAGTCATCGATTGGGGAATCATCTACTATGATCATTTCTTCACTCTCAGATTTTGGTGGCATGAGTTGAGTGTTCACTTCCTGATGAAGAATGCCGCGCACGCTTACGTTGAGCTTTGCCATCTGGGTCTTTGTGGCTTGTGAGTGTTCTTGGGAAGTTTATTAATAAATTTCATGTAAGACGAGACAACCTTGTTTTTTTTTGGAATAAATGTTTAAAAAATCTGCCAACATCCAAAAAACGATATAATGTGAAATTTTTCATACAAAAAAAAAAAAAAAAAAAAAAAAAAAAGATATGCCGTTCATATGGAGTATTTTCTTTTCTTTATGTTTTCATCATACATAGGTTGATCTATCAGGAAAACATTTCGAAAATGCAAACCCCCACCCATATTGCAAATGATCCGTATCACCACCAAAATTTTATGGAATATCAATTAGGCAAACCTTAGGTAAAAAAAAAAAAAAAAAAAAAAAAAAAAAAAAAAAAAAATCAAATCTGTTCATAACTTTTCAAGTTAGAAAAAAGAAGTTCCTGGATCCAAACCATGGTCCACATCACCACCAATAAGCGTCTAAAGTCAGGTTAACACACACCTTTGGTTAAAACCTCAGAAAAAAATGTGTTCATAACTTTTAGAAATATCAGAAAACACAAACAAAAAAACAACAAACAAACAAACTGAAATAATATAAATAAACAAAAGGTCACGGGGTACACAGAAATGCTCTATATATGCTTATATACCTTATTCACATCACCATGTAATTGTTTTTCGTCTTTCCTCGGGGCCTGAGGGTGAAAATTGGCCACGTGACCCCGTAGAGTTAAACACCATTATTCCGTAGATGTAAAGAGACTTATTTCATGGTCCACGACGCCCCGGCCGCGCTGAGGAAACGTTCCCGTCCGACTGGTGTCCACAGTTAGTACATGGGACGGAAGGAATGGAAATGGGAAGAAGCCTGTTTTGGGTTTCAGGAATAAAGGCTGGAGAACCTTTCTGAGAGGTGGTTTGCTAGAGGGTTGTGAAGTTGAGGGGGTTGCCCCATCTGACTGGGGAACAGTTACTCTGTCGACCAATATTATGCGTTGTAAAAACCCATTAGAGCAACAATAATAGTTAAATAATAGATAATTATATCAATAACAAGTAATTCGTAGATGATTTGTCATGCAAAATGTATAAATAATAAATAGGAGTCAATCACAGGCTCAGGAAACCGAGGGCGACCGACCAAGGCGATCTCGCAGTTGTGACATATCTCTCATCTTTCTTAAAATAATCTTCCAGATCTGAAGATTATTTTCAAAAGCCACAACTGCGAGATGTCCACCCCGTCCACTAGAGCGAGAATGTGGCCCCAGGACCTGCCTTCCGTCAATCCGCTCCTCCCCGAGATTCCCCAGTTCCTGCCGTCTTGTCTGACTTGGCCGCCCATTTTGGCAGTTTCAGCGACCTCCCTTGGAAGGAAGTCCCTCATGGCCCAACTCCTCCGGCAGTTCCTTGGTAACCAGCAGCTCCGGCGGTCTTCGGCAGGTACCTTCCTCCGGCAGTTTCGGCAGGCAGCTCCTACGGCGGTTTCCATTGTTAGCCAGCAGCTCCGGCAATCCCTCGGCAGACAGCTTCTCCGGCACAACGTCAGGCGGCGACTCTTCATGCGGGTCCTCATACTGCATCTCACTAGATGGTCCACTGCCCATCAGATCCTTGGGCGGGCATTCCACGCCAGCTGGTCGTTCGGGTGGACAACTCCCCACACCACCAGCTCCACACGCAGCAGTCGTGTTTCTCCGGCGTGTTGGTTGCCGCCGGCTGTAGCTTTCTCGAGCGCGCCCGTTTCTTCCGACGGCCGCTCTGCTTTTATCCGTCGTGCAGATTCACTCCCGGGAGTTCTTGAGAGTCCCGGACAACTCCAGAGCAAGCCCAGAGGAAGGGACCCCGTTCTCCAACGGCTTGTTAAGCCTTCCGGCGCCTTTCCTCCTCGCGCGCGCCTGCGACGATCTCTTCCACTGACGCCTCTGCTCATCCCTTCGCTGATAATACAGAGCCAGCTGCTCACGCCTGATCTTCTGCTCCTGTATATAGCGTAAAAAGGCCATTCCCTCGAGGCCCAGCCTTTCGCCTTCCACATAGTTCCTCATAGTTCCTATGTCAGGGTTCGTTTATGAGGTGATCAGATCGGCCAGGTTAACAGTGAAACACCGGAGGAAACATACGGGAGGAATATTTTCAAAAGGCACTATTTACGCTATACACAACACAGAGGTGGCAGGAGAAGTGCAGGCAAGGTCACATGGCGAGCGAGGTAGTCGTTGTCTTGATCACGGGAATACTGGAGAACTTCCGGGAGAACTGACGAATACGATACCATACGATACAAAGTTGAGAATCTGAGATTCTCGTAGGAAGAAAGAGAAAGAACTAAGCAGCTAGCTACCTAAAATGAAGTATTAGAAGAAGGGTATGAAAGGTGGGGGGTAACCCCTTGCTGGGCATAAATTGGGGTTAAACAGCCTGTTGCAAGTCAGTTGGTTTTGGTGCGTGTGTGGAGGCTAAAGATGAGTAGTAATTTCCTTCGGTTTCTCTCCCAGCCGGAGTGGATAGCGGCCTTTGCCTTATTTCATTATGTTAATGTTACATAGTTTCCAAAGTACATAAATAGGATAAAAGCGGTTCAATATTGGTGTTCCCTTCGCCTTAAATAGATTCTCATATATTTACATAAATATGAAACCTTCATATGTGCCTACATACACGTACGTAGATATGTACACATGCCATATAGAGTGTAAATGAAAACAGCACGGAGCAACGCCAAAGAAATCTTGGACAAGCACAAAATATGGGAAAATAAGTGCGATTTTTTCTTTTTTTCTTCTTCTTTTTAACCCTCCTGTGACGATCTGCCATTGCGATCTTTGGGTGGCCGGAGCTCGCAAAGGATGATCTGCCTGGAGGATGAGAGATATGCTTCCCGAGGGATTGGGATATCACACTCACATATGCATGATTACATATACAAACTCACATACACATGCACGACGTATGCATATACATGTACACACATGTGTATATGTATATGTGTATATACACATGGGCATGCGTATATACACATAAATATGAAACCTTCATTTGTGTCCACGTATACATACACATATCATGCACATACACAGTACATAGCAACGCCAAAGAAATACTGAATGAGCACAAAATATGGATTCTCGGAGTTTATCTGTCTTCATGTGCGGAGGTTAACTTTCGCACATTCACGATAAATAAAAACTGATTCCTCAGCGAATTTGTAAGGTAACCCGACTTCACTCGCCTCTCCATCCTTCGTCTCAGTCTCCTCACTCGATCCAGAGGAGGTCGTGGCGTCGGCTGCGAAAAGGCTGGTGAANACACACAAAACACACACAAACACACACACACGTGTGTGTGTGTGTAGAAAAGGTATGAATGAGAATGAATATCTTCACAATACAAGATATTAATTCT